GTATAGATCCTTGAGGTACCCCGGAGGAAAGAGACTTCGTCTCAGAGCAACCACTTTTAACATCTACCTTCTGCCAACGATTCCTCAGATAGCTTTCAAGTAATCTCAAAGCACTACCAGAAAATCCAAAATAATGTTGTAATTTGAACAGAAGAATGGAATGATCTACTGTGTCGAAGGCTTTAGAAAAATCTAAAAGTGTCAGCACAGTCAGATCACCTCTGTCATAAGCAGGGCGAATATCTTCAATTACCTTGAGTAATGCTGTTGCACAACTATGGCTGGCCTTATAGCCCGACTGGCATTCCGTTAGAAGGTTGTTTTTGTTAAGATGTTCAGTGATCTGAACCACAACTAACTTTTCCCAGATTTTAGAAAGAGCAGGAAGTATAGTTATGGGCCGAAAATCCATTGGTGAAGCAGCCGATGGCTTTTTAGCAATAGGAATAACTTTTGCTATTTTCCAAGCATCGGGAAAAACTGAGGCCGTTATTGAAAAATTAATTACATGTGTCAACGTAGGAGCAATGTGAGGTGCAATGAGTTTCAGAAACCTAAGATTTATGCCATCCTCCATGGCTCGTGGTTTCCACAGCCCACCTGATATTTACCGACTCGATGAGTTCAGCTTTTAGTCTGTGTTTGCAGGAGGTTAGAGGTAGGAGTGGTATAATGTAACTGTCGTAGATTATCCGGTGGATCGTATATAACCTGGTTGCACTGCAGCTGACCCGAGATTTACCCTAGATATTCACAGGTGGAAGATTTGACATTATTTCCACAGCCGTCCTCTGCACTCGTTCCACCTTGGACAAAGTGTTGTTTAGTGCCTTAGGGTCTAATCACAGCTGTGAACATACAGTGTTCTATATGTGGTCTTATTCGCCATTTTTTGATTATAGCCGTCTTACAAGCATACAGGGCGGTTCTTCCAGTCCAGTTTCTCGTCTAGTAAAACTCCAAGGTATTAGACCTCGGTTGAGAGAGTTGGTGCCACCCCCTTTAGGGTGGGAGGTTTAACACTGCGTTGGTAATGCAGTCCAAGTACTCAGCAATTCAGCTATGAAGATTTTTGGAAATTCTGGTATTTTATATTTCACTTGGCAATATTTCGGTACTAACTTATAAGACGGTAACCACTTTTAGCGGTTATTAGTGTGCACAGGGTGCGAAAAGGGTTTAAAATTTTATATGAATTTTATTTGCCGATTACAAAAGTAAATAAACTTCCTGTAAATTTTTAAAACCTTTACGCATTCTGCACAATTTATGTGTACACCATTTTGTTTTATATTACAGTAGTTAACATATTTAATTAAATTATAAATTTAAAAAAAATGTCTTGTAAAAATGCATATTAAACGTCTTTCAATTCCACATCTCCGTACATTGTAAAGATAAACATATATATATAAATAAATATGTTCTCATATCTATATGTATGTATTCACGCCTTCGCAATGGATTGTGCTTTCGAAAGGCTGTCGGCGCATAGCAGCACATTTGAGGGCACTTGAACTCAAAGTATAAGTTGAGAAGGGGCTTGGTGACAGAGGCAACACACAGTTAATACAAATTTGTATATGTTTATGCAAAAGTTGGCAACCCTAGTCAAACCTACTTGATATATTTGTATGCATGTATGTATGTATATGTATATATATCTCGCCTTTGGCTGACGGCTGCGTCAATCAACCTACTCCCGTCCATTGCCTATGCGAATGTCAATTCGTGACAAGTGGCACTGCGCGACTATGTGAAGTGTACGCCACGAGCATGTATGTAGATTTGTTCAAATGTAAAAGCAAACAAAAAAAAAACATCCAAAATAACAGGAACAAGAAATTCTTTTGACGACAATTCAACAAAGTTAACAGCTGGTAAACATCAACAATACCAACAACCAAGACAGTAACTAAAATGTCATGCACACATGCACATAAATATGTATGCCAATTTACAATGAAAAAATATACAAATGTATAAAGCGAGAATATGCGAAAACATGCAAGACAAAACGAGCACTATGCATTTGTGCATGTACGTGTACATATATAAAATTGCTTATACGCTTAGACATATTTATGTATATAAATTCTACGAGGCACAACAAGTATGAAATCAAAATGCTCCTGCACCTTTCTAATAAAAACAGCAACAACAAACAATAAAAACACACAACAAGTCAACACCTTCTAAAAGTTTAGTAAACTTATGCGTTTATGTCTGCATTTGTTGTGCCAACATACAAGCATACCTTCAGGCCACTTAGAACCCAGAAAAAATATAGAAAACTCCTACGCTAATGTCAACGTCGGCATCCTTGTTGGCACTGGGGTGGTGAGTGAAGCATATAAATTTACCGTTAGTTTATTCGTATAAGCGTTAGTATGCAAGTATGTATGTATGTATGTATTGGTGTTGTTGCTGTGTGTAGACGCGCATGAAGTTGGCAAATAGTTTCATCACTCATACGCCCCGCCTGCCAATGCACTCAAATACTTCAAAATGGCTGGATGTTGTACATGATTGTTTACTACTTATCTTATGCATGTATGCTGATAAAGTAGGCACGTTTCCGTGGAGTTTCGCTCATTTACAAACCAGCTTTTCTGTATTCCGCTTTTCTCTGAATTTTAGTCCGCTTGAATAGCCCTCTAATGTATGTATTTAACATAGTAAATATATACGTATTTTAAATAGCTTAGCTCAAGCACAAGCACAGTCGAAAGCGCAAGGCTACAAAATAAAAGAACGATATACACCCGAAGACTTTTTAAATAGCAATATTAAGTAAATATTAAAGAATTCATAAGCCCCCACTGCCACACTTTCTAACCGATTTAAATAAATGGGGCTAGTAAATGGACCTTCAAAACGACAGTTTATATTTGACACCTGGCGGCCTCTGTAGTGTAGTGGTTAGCAGAGCGTGCTGCCATTCCGCAGGGCCTGAGTTCAAGCCCAGTTTTCCGCCAACATCAAAAAATAAAAAAAGGATTAGTCCAGCGCCTTCGTCTTGAGCTGGAGGCTATGTCGGAGCCACAGCCGCTAAACTTAAACGTAGAATACGCAATATTATTAAGACCACGTTCGAGTTAAAAAAGGTACATAAAATATTCGTTTTGATTGTATTGAATTAGATTTAATAAATCAATATGAATTGCAAAATATTAATAATTAGCAATAGAGTAGTAGATCCACATTAACTCCAATCATATGTACCATCAGCTTATAAAAAGACATACATATGCCATGACGTGTATGACTACTTCGGTTCATTTTTATTTCCTTTCATACTGCAGAAATTTGTATTACTTTTTTATTTGTCTTCTTCTTCGTGTTCGTGCTCGTCTTTTCATTATCATTATTTCATTTAGCTCATGCTTACTTTAATTTAATTGCAATTTTATAACATATGGCAACTCTATTCAAAATATTTTAAAACCAAAACCTTTTTCAACCTACGCACATATTGCGATACATATTTAAAGTGTGTATATATAGTTCTTTTAATTCAAATTGAATTTATTTTCTAAAACATATGGCAACCCTCTTAAATAAAGTTCAGAAGAAAATATTTTTTACCCATGTCGATTTATACGCATACCTTAATAATTCATTTGACTTATTAAATAATTTGAGTTTAACTTTCTACGCAGGTGGAAACCCTCTTTAATGTCTTTAATGTTATAAATGCTCAAACTAAATATTTCTCAATACTCCTTTGTTTGACGCCCATATATCAATATTTCATATAATTTAATTTAATTCGACTTTTCAAACAGACGGCAATCCTGTTAAACTTATTTTTAAATCAAAACCTCATTAAAACTTTTTCGTCTGACACTTGTATTGTGATACATATTTAAATTATCTATTACTCTTAATTAAAATTGAATTTAATTATAAAATCAGGTGCCAATCCTCCTACCTGCAGTTCGGAAATAAAGTCTCTTCAAAGCAAATTTATTTTATATTCATATTGAAGTAATTTATTTAACCTATTGCTTATATTAAATCATACTTTGTAACAAGGTGGCAACCCTCTGCGAAATATTTTCAAACCACAACCATATCTAACCATCCATCCAACCATGTCCATATATTTGAACCAAATAAACATACTTAGAAGATATCAACCAAAACTTCCCATATAACAAATGATATTGGGTTTTTGTTTAAAGAAAACAAAAACAAAATCATTCGAGCGGTTTTCGATTATTTTGAAAACAAAAAAAATTTGCTAATTTTTTCAACAATTTTTTGCATTAAAATGCTCAATATTTGTTGAACTTATATAAAATTTGCTCCAAGAAACTTATATACCGAAAATGAAAAGTTATATCTGCAAATCATAAGTTGCTAGAGCACTTCAAAGGCTCAAAATTGATCCCAAAATAAGCCAATATTTACCGTTGTTTCTACGACAGTAGCTGAATTGGTTACTTAAAGCGCAGTTACTCAACGACGTAGCGTAAACGTGGACGACGAGAGAGAGAGAAGCAACGGCAACGTCACCGCCATTCGGTGGTGAGTTTTCGTTAACACGCGGATCCCATAAGGTAGATCGTGTCTGCGCCAACCTACGTCTACGTTACGTCGTTGACTGTTTGCGCTTTTACAAAAATAAATCTGTCGATCGGGTTGGAATTTTATTTTTGAAACGCCACAACTTTTGTTGAAATCGCTTCATTAGTTCTCGGGCAATAAGCGTTTTCGTGAAGCTCTAAAAATCACAACTACAATATTACGGCATAGCCTCCATACCGAAACGTAAGCCGTATGCTACGTCAAACCAAATACTGCGAATATTTAATATGATACCC